ACTTGCTTTCACTAGTGTTTGCTACAGGTATACCTAACCACAGTTTCTTTTAAATCTTCAATAAACATAATTATGGCGAATAGTCACGGCGGCATTTAATATATATATATATATATAAATCTTATTACCGGTTAGCTTGTAATAATAATAATAGTAATAATAAGTAAGAAACGGAACTATAACAACAAGTCACCCGACTTCGTTCGCGGTGACTTAATAAGTAAGAAACGGAACAATAACAACAAGTCACCCGACTTCGTTTGGGGTGACTTAAGGATCCCCGTCCTAGCCAGAGCAAAACACTAAAGATTTCCACTGTCGTTTTTCAGCGTTAGAATCACTTGCCCCTGATTACCATGTCGAACAATGTTGTTATCTTCCCTTGAAAAGAAGAAAAATCGCGAAAGTGTGGGTAAAAAAAAAGCAGTCGTAACGATGTAAACAACGTCGTAGCAGTGATGGCCGACATGCAAACCCGACGTAAAATCGGCCGTTTTAAATGTAAACTAAACGCATTAACTGACAATAATAACAACAACGATGTCCAATATCAACTGCTAGAACACCACTTTGCGACGAAACAAAGTGACACTCGTTCACACATTGAAGAGACGCTGGACACTGAGGCCCCTACTAAGCTTATTACTGGCAATTTTACTGATGAGCCCACACCGACGTTCGATAAGGTAGGCTACTAGTGATCACGAATAAGTCAATAACTTTTGAACCTGGTCGCAGGGTAAACGAGTTGTTGAACTCGCGATGTTATCTGAATACCTGGACCAGAAAGGTTGTAAGGAATGCGGTACTAGGCTACGGTTGTGCAATACCCGGCAGGAAAGACATTTTGGCATGGGAAGTATTTGAAGTTTCACAATAGTCAAGATTATATTCTATTTTTGTTATATCATGTATATACCCAATAGGCCTATATTTCAAGTTCATTTTTTATATTACACACAACAGTGTTATTTTTACAATGTGATATTTGTATACCACAATACCGTATGTTGTTACTTGTACATAATGTAAAAGTTTATTATTGTTGTATAGTGTGATATTTGTTAAAACACAACAAATGTTGTTATCTGTTTATAATGACAAAGTTTATTATTGCTATATAGTATGATATTTTTTATATCACAATATGGTATGTTGTTATATGTACATAATGTGAAAGATTATTATTGTTTTGTTCAGAATGTAAAGGTTTATTATTGTTGTATATAGCGTGATTTTTTTTATATCACAACATGGTATGTTATTTGTAAATTACGTAGAAATTTACTATTGTCGTGTAAAGTATGTGAAACTTTGTTATTGTTGTTCATTGTGTCATTTTTGCTATGACACAGTACAGTACATTGTTTGTTATAATGTTACTCATACACAATGTACAATTTTGTTTTATATTGGTTATTTGAAGTAATTTTAATGGTTGGTAATGCCTACTGTATTATATTCGTACATAATAAGTGCTATATTGTATGTTGTAAATTTTATATATGACTTTTTGGGATTTAAAATTATTATCGGTACAAATATAAGCGTTGTCTTTCTTTTTTGCTTATTTTTTTCGTATCTTTATAATTTTTTGTATACTAAGTAAGTCCGCAAGATATTTATTTTTTGTCACCTATATTTTCTTTTCGTTGTCCTAAACGTGTTGCAATGGCACTCTGAATTTTATTGATTCATGTAACGGGCATTTTTGTTTGTTTTAGTATTATTGTTAGAAAATTACTCAGTTTTTTTGTGTTTTGTTCATCAATATTGACATTGTCATTATTTTGTATGTGTTTTATTTCTAATAAACCATTGTTGCATCAAATAAAATGTATTTTGTTTCATTTTGTTCCATGGAAAAACAAAATCGAAAACAAATCGAAATTTCATAATATCCCAACAATTCTGAAGAAACTACCACAAGGTATAGGTTATTGTTTAAAAATTATTTGTTTATGCAATAGCGATGCGCATAGAAAGAAAAAAAATCAATGCCTCATTACATTTTTAGGCGGAGGGACGGGTATTCTTAATAATAAGTAAAAAACAGAACAATAACAACAAGTCACCCGACTTCGTTTGGCTGACTTAATAGGAATCGGAGTGAAAACAAGAAGTCCCCAAACTTGGTTTGGTGGACTTAAGGTAATAGGATTGTGTCACCATTTCTCAGTAGAATTTCTTCAAATTTTGTAGTTATATTGCTTTGAAGTAAAGAATTTTTTCTGCCACAAAAAAAAAAATACAGGTTGTCAGAATTTTAAGGATTTTAAATGGAAATTTATATAAAATGGAGTGAATTTTGAAAAATAAATAAACACACATTTGTTTGCAAAATAATGTCACTAAAAATGATACTGACATAGATTAGTATTGCATAAATGTATATCAATTTCATCAATACTGAAATTGTGTAAAATTCATTATCTATAAATGATTAAAAATTGACATTTTATAATAAAACCATATACACAAATTAATTGCATGTAAGAGTTATCGTTCTTAAAAACTTCACAGTAGTGAGATATGTTGCCGGTTTCCTGAAGTGTCTCGTGATTTTCCCCGTGTAAAATATAGTTCGTGGAAATAAGCACAAAAATATCGACACAGTTTCCATAATTTAATCAATCAATATTTTCAATTCACATGTTATAATAGTCTTACATAATACGGTGAATATTATTGAAATATAGTGTTGTTTTTTGTGCTTATGTGCTTACTAGTGCGGAGGGGAATAGCGATCCGGTAGTTATTCGTACCCATGGATATATCACTACGCCTGTGTTATGGTCTCATAACATGAAACTCGATATGTCAGTGCTATATAGTGGTAATGCAGATCAAATGTAAATATTATTATAGGGAGAAGATTGCATGCGATGACACGGGGGTCATTTTTTTTGTTGCGTTTGCATGACTGTGTTTGTCTCTTCATCAACATAAATTGTATAGGTTTATGATGTTTGGATCTCGACTGGTTCCGTGTTATGATATAGAAACATATCCAATAACAACCAAGACGTTAGAACCTAAATATTCTCAGAGTTGGAAGGACCCCTTGGGCAACTATGGAAGTGTGTTTGCATTCTTTTCTCCATGTCAAGCGATTGTATATATGGTCAAGGTCCTCGCCCTATGGTGAGGATCTCGATAATGTCCAAGTTATTGCCCAACTTCTCTACTGGATCCCACCCCTAGGGAGGGAACAAACCCCAAATCAAGTTCTGGTAACATGAATGCATTTGTCAAGTAAGGTTACATCATGTACATGTAGATATGGATATAGGATGGGAATTTCAACTGTTTCCAAGTTATGGCATCATTTCGTCAATTTGGCCCTATTCTATTTGCCTCTCTCTTTGCCCCAATTTGGCCCTGTTTGTTGTGCCCCAAAGAGTTACAGCCGGTGTTAACATAACATTGAGTCCACTTGGCCTTATGATTCTCTAAATCAATTTGATTAAAATTCTTCAATCCATATGCTTTGAGAACAACTTTAATATTTACCTCTATTTCCCCAACTAAACATCGCCCGTCAACCTCGAAGGGGGGACAGACTCTCCGTTTGTAACTATCGCCAAGAACGCTCAAGAGGACCTTCTGACAGAAATACCTGTAGCAGTACATACATTTGTTGTTTGGAACAGGTAATCTACATGTTAAATGAATATAGTGCATGTGAAATAATAAGATGCCAATTGTTGTGTCATACATCAGTATTTTCAAACAAAATACAATATTGTTTAGTTCAGTATGTTTATTAATAAGTTTACAATAAGGAACAATGAAAATATAATGTGATATTTTTTTTTCTTATTTAAAATAAGTATTGGACAATGCAGCTCACTCTACCGAACATCCTTTGCGGCTTTACAAATACCTTGATTTGTTTTGGTGTCGTGCGTTTTCGTGAAAAAGTTTTCCAAATTACTGTACAATCGTTTGTAACGCTGCTGATGATGCATGCGATTACACATATCACAAAGAGAAGATTGCAACACACCACTTACAGTTCCAACAGAATAATGTTTTCTCCACTTAAAAAACTTCAAATACTCGTCAAAATTTTCTGATAAAAATTTGATATATTTTGCAAGCGATTTTATGCTTTTGAAATCCTTTGTATCAACATAGGAGTGTGGGGGGTGATATAGTGAACGATTGGCGCCATCTCTAATTATCGGCACAATTTGATGACGTAATACAAGATGTAGGGACTTTTCTGTGACGTAATCTTTGCATAAAGAATTTTCCAGAGAAAGATAAAATTTGTACGGACTGTCTAGTACATCAAAGCAATTATCTCTATGTCCTGACGTCACATTCCACACGCCCTTCCATTTAGTGTCTTTTCCCCCACCACACGTAAGATTTCCACATTTGCCATATATATCAATGTCCACGCCGTATGATCGAAGTTTGCGTACAAATTCGTCTCGTTTTGAACGAGCTTTGCAATGACTTATAAAGCCAACAGCTGTCTTTGATTTCGATCGCAATAATTGGTTCATCTCACTCACATTGTACCCTGTGTCGTGTTGTGAGAACTGTCCGTGTACCAACGTGAAGTCGGAATCCCGCCGATATGTGAACGTCCAGTTGACAATATCGTTTCGCCAGCAGCTTGAATCTGGCCGGAAATAATGTGGTGATTCGTATTCAAATAAAATCCAAACTTGACCTTGTTTTCGTTTTGACCTTCGTTCTCCTAGAGCATCCCAACTGAACATCACAGCATCGGCCTTATGAAGGAAAGTCTTGTCTTTTGTGAGGATACAGTCCTTAGTCATTGGACACGACTGAAACACATCAGACGTGTCCCATTTAGTTCCTACCCAATCTTTAAGCCATCTTGTTGTACTATAGACAAGGATTTTCTTTGTTGATGACAACTTCGAGTGATTAGAGTGATTGTTTATTGCCCATGAGGATGCATGATTTCCAGTGGTCTCGACGGTAATACAATTAGCCTTGTTGGTAATGGTAAGTTGTGAATAGAGGACCGCCATAATGACTATAGAACACAAACAAACCACCGTGACACTCGCATGGCGGACGAATGTAAAACGCTTTGATCCCATAGTCCACATCAGCTCTGAAATTTTAGAAGAACATATTATTAGAACAAGTTACCATACGTACAGTTGTGCACATCTTCAATACTCTCATCCTAAATTACCTATCCTCAATACTCTCATCCTCAATACTTTCATCCTCAATACTCACATCCTCAATACTTTCATCCTCAATACTCACATCCTCAATACTCTCATTCTCAATACTCTAGAGTCATTCTCAATTCACTCATCTCAATTCACTCATCCTCAATACTCCGATTCTCAATACTCTCATCCTCAATGATCCCATCCTCAACACTTTTTTCATCAATACTCCCATCCTCGATACTCTCATCTTCAATTCTCTCATTCTTAATACTCTCATCCTAAATACTTTCATCCTCAATACTTTCATCCTCAATACTCGCATCCTTAATAATTTCATCCTCAATACTCATATCCCCAATACTCCCATCATCAATACTTTCATCCTCAATACTTCAGGGGTTACGCTCACTTACCCATGACATATGTCATAACAAAACAGAAGGCTCAATATGCACCACTTTGTGGATGAAACAAAAAGACCAGTTTGGTTCTATAGTGTGCATTTATATAATCCTGCAGATAGAAGGACTGACATATGGACCATTCCGTCAGAATGACGTCACACGCAATACACACATATATTGGACACAGGGGTTGATAATTCAGTCTGTAACACTAAATTTGATGACGTCACAGAAATACACACACCGATTATAGTGACGTCACGTTCGACGACCGTGACGTCATCTAAAGCTACGCTATGGTGAACACATAGTTGAATTCGTTTCTGCCGGACCTAAGAACTACGCGTACCGCACAACCGAAAACAACGGTACTGATCGTAACATCTGCTTCTCTATTCTGCCTGACGCCCGATTGTAAAGACAGAGAGTTTTGGATTGTATTACTAGCGTCATGCCTGGGGTTTGTAATACCGGCACCGAAGCTGAAGTCAATGAACAACATGAAACTACGCTATGTGGAGAACATATAACTTACAGCTGGTCAATATACATACAATTTACAGGCGAAGCATTAGTAAAACATTCGGCTTCAGAGCGACGATTCCTTAGTAAAAAATTATGCGTAACTGACTGTAAATGTGTACAAAAAAGGGGGATTGATTTACCGGAACGTGCATCCGTAAAAGCGTATCTCGTAGCATGTGAAATTCTAGACCTAAATTGATAGTAATTCTAAAAAACAATCAGAATTCAACCAATCAGATTTAAGGAAGTAAAAGTGTCAACCAATCAGAATTCAGCCAATCAGATTTAGGGAAGTAAAAGTGTCAGCCAATCAGATTTAAGGAAGTAAAAGTAACAACCAATCGGATTTATGAGGGTAGAATAGTCCTTATAAAAAGAGAGACCCTCACTGCTTTGTATTCAGTTAGTACTATAAGCTTTGTATTTGCTGAAGAGGGTACACATTTTTGTCAACATGGAAAATTGCAACGATTGCCCAAAAACTTATGGTAGCAGGAAATCGCTTAGACGGCACGTCAACTTGAAACACAAAGGGTAAGTTCCGCTTATATTTATATTTATATGATGATTCTTTATTTATATGATGATACTTTATTTATATGCTGATACTAAATTTTTTCTTTTCTTTTTTTCTTCTTTTTATTTTACAGGAATACCGATATGTTTATATCTACAGCACCCACAACAAACACACCCCTACAATTTAAAACGCCCGTAGAGGAATTAGCTGCGTTAACACAAGAAATTCCTGAATTTTCCGAAATAACATCAGATAATTCAATCAATCGACACAACAGTTATTTTCTGATGAAATCGAAGAAGGAGAGGTAGAACAAGAAGGAAACGTCGAACGAGAAGGCGACAGACAACAGCGTGAGTACTATAACTGACACACCTCTACAGGAATCCAAAGACCATACAAAACCAAAGTTACCTACTAAACGAAGGGGACTACCCACACTGTGCGAGTCCGTACAAAATACTGTTTTGTAAAGTTTTCCTTATTCCTCACACTGCTGCTCTGATAAAGGAATTAACTTCTATGAATCTCACACCTGCTGCTATATTACGCATACAATCACTGGACAGCAACATACGCGAGGCCATACAAAGTTTCACCGAGGGAAAAGATGTAAACTTGTTTAGTCACCTTGGCGATAATATTTACGGTACATAACCCCTACACGTGTGTAGACATTAGGAAGTTTCACGGCAGTAGCTACAGTGACAATGTTGTACCGAGCAAACACGGTATATATGCATAACTTTCTGGGAATACTATCAGCTGGCCACCCTTTTGAAGAAGTTTTGAAAATGTGGAGACATTTGATCAAACGCTACAGGAACTGTTGTTTTCGTAGGACAGTGCGTGCAAATCCATATTGGAACCACATGATATTAAATGTTAACAGTGAACTTGATTACTTAAATTTAGTGTTTCACATGTTCTGTGATAACAAAATGACATATTACAGAGTTAAAGTACTGTTATCATTTAGTAACAGATTGAACGACCCTATGTACATCAACAAAGGGCCTGTTTCCAGTAATGTTAATTCTCCATAGGAGCCTGCCCCCGTATAATTTCTTATCTAGCTCAACTACTGTTTTTTTCTTTTCCGAAGAATAATTTTACACCTTTCCGACACCCAGATTTCATAATTTCAGTGAAAATGTATTTTTATAAAGTTGTCAATTTCAGCATCAAAGACATAAGTTCGTAAATAAAAGAAGGTTATCTCGAAATTGTAATTCGCAACATAGTATAAATTTCTTTTGATAAATATTTCCAAAACATCGTGTTTATTCATAAAACATAAAAAAAAAAATTCTCGGATGAAAATGCACTTGCAGAGACACAATTATGAAGAAAAATGCCATAAAATTGCAATTTTCTCCCGTTATATAGTTTTGGATGCAAATTTCCATCAGAAAATCGGATAGAGCTTTACTTGTTTCATATGTGTACCAAAAATCAGCTAATTCCATGTGGTGGAACGTTCTCATATCGCCGCCTGAATGTGGTTGTAAATTGAAAGAAAAGGGGAAATGAGTAACAACCTTGTCTGAAACCCTATTATATAGCTTATTATATACAAACTTTTATATTGAATATCAGAGCGGATATTTTCATGACAGTTTTATGATGTGTAACGACTAAATAAACAGTATCGATATAAAGATTTACACTGAGGACACCCTGATACATGAATACTGTTCTATCTCAAGTTGTCCTCTTCTGAATTTTCTGATCGTGTGGCCTTGTACATTTATCCGTATCTTCTTGTCTTTGTCTATACGTTTACGGAATCATTGACTCGACGCTAGCTATTCTTGTCTCACTTTCCTTGTTTTATTGTCCCATCTCCAAAGCGTTGTGGCTCTGTCAGGGTTGGGACCCTGACTTGTCTCACTTTCTTTGTGCCTGCCGACCACGCCACATCGAATAGATAGATTATCCATATGAAATACTTTATTTTGTTCTAAGTAATCAATCAATTCTGCGCTTCTTGGAGGTATTGAATGTGATTTATTATATTGTCTTGTTATTTTGTGTAATTAGTTGTTCGTTATTTATCACACATTTTCGCATAATTGTACCAAACTACTAAGTATTAGCTGTTTACAGCAATCATCGGTGGCTTGCTATTTTGTTACTTTATCGACGCTTCATAAACCAATCGTTATTGTTTCAAGATGGAGGGTAAATGTGTTGGAGAAGGGTGTCAAGTATACTTCAAGAAACGTAGTGGCAATAAGAACAGAAGTGCACGCAATGTAAATAGTCCACAATATAAATGGCTCCTAGATACGCTGGTGCAACAAGGATTGATGTCAGCAAAGGAACAAGCACTTATTTGCCAGAAGTGCTACATGAAGTATCTTCGGAACAAAAATCAGCCTGAACCTGAACCCGAGCAGAACCAGGAAATAGAGGAAGAAGACGACTCCCCGTCCCATATCCTGCCGTTGCTGACCCTTCATGATCTTTTGAATGGATCATCTTCACACAAAAAATGCTGTCTCTGTCTTGTTACCTTTGCAAGAAATGGAACAAAATCATCAGTCTTACCAAAACGTGCAAGACATCACCTGATCTATTCACACAAACTGTGGTGTCCCACCTCATCCCGCGTCTGCTCCATTCACCTTATTGGTAACGACTTAGATCCGTCTACAGAGGTTGTCCTTGATGGTAGAGGTTCCTTGGAATCTCAGTTACCATCAAAATCGTCCGAAATCATTAATGACCTCCTAGAGGTGTCGCACGTCCTTTCACAGAACCAGTCTGCGTTTACAATAAGCTTTTCTTCTCTTGATGACTCGGCATGCATGGCCTGGACAGGTTGGTCCAAAGATCAGTTCCTCGAAATCCACTCGCACTGTTCCCCATATCTTTCATCTGGTATATATACCAAGACTACACACGATGCTCTATTACTGTTCTGGGTAAAACTGAAAACCGACATTTCCTGGAGTCAGTGTTCTTCTCTTTTTGGAATTTCCAAGTCAAGTGTGTCCAAAACTTTCCACTCCATAGTACAGGCATTAGACACATCGATAGTCCCACAATTTCTAGGTCCGGATCACTTGACAAGAGAACAGTTGCTCGGGCACAATACTGTCTTTTCAGAAGCATTTTTTGGAGATAAAGCCACTGCCATATTAGATGGCACCTATATTTATATCCAGAAAAGCTCCGACCACAAGCTCCAGAGAATGTCCTACTGTGGCCAGAAGAAGAGAAACTATCTCAAATTCATGAGCATCGCCTTACCAGATGGCTACATTCTGGACACAGTAGGACCATTCACTGGCAGCGAAAATGATGCTACAATTACAAAAAAAGTCATGGACAAGCTAGTTACTTGGCTACAACCAGACGACAACGTTGTCGTTGACCGAGGTTTTAGAGATGTCCTACCAGTTCTCGAAGCCTCTGGCCTCAATGCTAGCATGCCGTCATACCTGAAACCCGGTCAAAGTCAACATTCTGACGT